GAAGTGAACCACACCGTGACACTTTATTGTCTAATAATGTAAACAGTTTGGGGGTTTTGTTAGGCCCGACGTCCAGCAACCCTCGAACAGTCACATTATTGAAGATAAAGTACTGCTTCAAGTACCTTATTGCTTTTATAATACAGTTACCAGCAAAATTATAATTAGTAAGTAATAATAATAAGTAAATAGCTGCTTTTCGGCACAAAATAAGTTAGCTAAAAGCTGAAATGCCAACTAACTATATATACTACATATATATACATGTCATTGGATACATGCTCTGTCTATTTACCTTGTGATTGAAAGCTGTTCTTTCACAGTAAAGCCTCTGAAAAAGTGCCTGACAGATTTCTCTTTTCCCTAAATATGAATTACTGAAGGTGCACCTGTATTATCTCCGCGAGGAGGATAATCAAAGTCACGCGCGTTCATTTGTGACAGGGCACCTCTGTCCATGTTCTCGCGTTGTGCTGCATTACACTGCATACTATTTTGAATAGTTGGTTGTGCCAGATCTAAAACTACTCCATCACCTTGTCATGCTGCCTTTGACTGCCCGCTGACTCCTCATTTACCAACTTCAGCTGGACGTTGGTGCCTCAGACTCCACTTTGCCTCCCGCAGAGTCCTGCTGAGTGCGAACGGAACAACCGGCACAAACCCTGCTGAGAACATTGCCCCTGCTGTCCAGGGAAATTTTGTATTTGGCAAGATTGTATTGAATGTGTCAGTCAACGTCGGCCCTTGTTTGAATGAAATGCGTTTAAAGCCACCTCACAGGTTCTCTAGACTATTGGGAGTTAACCAACTGGCGGTTGTTTTCGTTCAATGACGCAACACAGCAGAGCATCTGTTGTTACAGAACCACCTGACGGGTTTCACCTTTCATGTTAAATTTTAGTTTAAGAAACAAAAAGAGCTCATCTGCTCCATTGCACAGTATTGTAAATCGCTTTGGATAAAAGCGTCAGCTAAATGACATGTGATGTAACGTTAATGTATTGTTTGGTTTGATGAACAACGGCCCGGCACCAAGAACACATTTTACTTCAAATTTGTCTAAATCCTATTTGTTGCACTGATTTTTTTGTCGCTGCTTCCCAGCCCCGCTGCCGGAGTGAGAAGAGGGTAGACAACATGAGAAATCGAGACAAACTACCTAAAAACTGTTATATGTTAATGTATGACCCCATCACTTAAAAGCTAATTCTAAGAAAGGTTTTCAGGCCCTAAAACTCTCCTCATCGGACTTTCGGACATCAGATTTACTCACAGTGATGAGGGATGAACTTTGATTCCTACTTTGCAAAGTTCATTGCAGAGTGCAGACCAGTCCACTGATAGTAAAAGTATAACCTCGACAAGTGAATAAGGGCGTCAATGCCAAACCAAACCAAAGCTGTCAATAGAATAATGGTTTGAACGCCTATTAGGGAAATTGCTGACTATTCATGCTCTGATTTGTCATTGAGTGTTAGTGCACCTCAGCAGCTTCCTTCGATCAATAAGCCAGCAGGGATGCACCCACTCTGTGACTGGAGGGTAAATGTGTCATCCACTCTGAGTCGCACCACGCACTCCTGTTGGCCTCCATAGTGAGGTGACTGTACTGTTGTCGTGCCGTTACAACATTGGCGGCCTTTTTCACTTCCGTCCCACCCACACGTTGCTGCAGCTCATTGGGGATTTAACAAGTCAATAATGCCCGTTGCCCTGTCAATGTGCTTCGTAATTACCAGATGACCCTCGCTCAAATACCATTTGTTTTAAGTCTGTACACCTTGATTTATGTCCCATCGGCCACTTTTGCGTTTACCCTCGGCGGTGGTGGATGGCTGAGGCGCGGCGACAGATTCTCTGATGATGCGGATGGAAAGCAGCAAATGCGTGTGCTCGTCTATTTCTGTGTGGCTGATTTTCCATATTGCTTCATTGACTTCTTCAACTACATCCCAAAAAAAGAGACGGCACTCAGTAAAGCATATATACTCTTCTGTACAAATGCAGCTGTCAATGTGCCAGTACCACAAGTCGGATTTACTGCAGCAGTTAAGAGTTTTTTCCATGGTCCACTAACAACCTATTTCACATTTGGAGACGCACACATCTGTGACCGTGCCTTAAATGGGACATCAGATGTGCACATTTGTATTCTAGGAACTCTCTTAAGCTGCAACACTGTTCTTCATATCGGTCCTGTTCGGTGGACAGCGATGCAGTGGCCCTTCTACCACAGCATTGCAGAAAGAAGTAGTTATGTTCCACTGTCTGTTTCAAAGTATTTATTCTTTTCACGCTTATTATTCAGTATTTTTACTGTTTATAATTACATTGTACTGGATTTCTAATAATACAACTGTTATTAAAGTAACACTAATGTATTAGATTTTCAAAAAGAAGCAAAAGACAAGACACACAAAAGTCAGTAATAAAAGATTGAAAAGCATTGATGGATCTTTTTGTGTGTATTTCTTTCTTGTCAGTTTAGCCTGAGGAAATTCATCCCAAAGACGGTAAGCTGCCGTGTAAAAACCAACCAGGGGTTGAATGTAGCACAGTATTGACAGAGTCAAAACCCAAACAGTAAAACGGTTATTTTGATTAGCTTAGCTTAACATTTCATTGTTTTGTTTTTTTGACTTTTTTTAGGACTTTATTAAAGGGACATTGTGTAGGATTTGCTAGTTTCCAGTGGTGTGGTTGTAGATTGGAACTAACTGAACACCAGTACTTGTCCGAGGTTTCTTCATTGTGGAGGTCTGTAGAATCATGACGGACTCTATAACATTTCTAAATGAACCAGTTTCAGATGATTATACGCTAGCTAAAAATAAGATAGTTATTATTTTTAATTTATGCAATTATATCCCCTGAAGTTCTACACACTTTAATTCATTCTTAGTGTTTACGTACACATTTGTTGTTGTTAATTAAATCCTCCGACTCCAGACGTCTGAGTATTTTGTCAGTGCATGGGATGCATCGTGTCACCGTTTTATTCTGCAAAACATACTTTGACTTGTTAAACAACACTGTCTTCAGTGTTACTTGCTCACTTTCATCATACTTAGGGACTGCATGCAAACAATCAAGGGGCGGGAATGAGATGAAATAGCTGTTCTTTTGTTACTTGATGAAAGTCGGATATGTTGAAACACTTTTGGGAGAGCAGTGGATGTTCTTTTATCTTTTCCTTATATTTGTCAGTGCCATCGAGGTCTTTGTGATTGACCATATAGGACGGTGGCTGCTTTTAGTGAGACGTCGGGTGTGTCCTCATTCCCAAACCCAATAAAGATTTGTGAAGGCTGAGAGTTAGAAAAGAGGAGAAGAGAAGGACATTTGCAGCTTGCTCGCCGTCTCTTGTGGAAGAAATGGTTCAAGGTCACATCAGCCATTGCAAGCACTGCTGCGACAGCTTGTGGTCAAGTTGCATTGTACGTAATTGCGCACAGATTTTAAAAAGGAACATAAACTTTAATTGATTAAAAGGCCATATCTCTCTCTTTTATCGTCTTGACATCTTGTAAAGCACAGAGGGACTCGTCCTCCTCCATGATATTGAGTGATTGAATCTTTTTTTCAGATTTACCTTCCAGGTTTCCACTCGCCATCTGCGGCAAACTCCAGAAATACAAGATAATAATTGTGATTTAGCCATATATATTTAGAGAATAGCGAATAGACTAACGCATATTCAACACAGCCTTATGTTTGTCCCAGAGGGCATATGAAAAATTAATATAACTCAGCCTGCATTACCAGGCACCAATATCCCAATATGTTTCCATTTGGGCCACATTTAATGGAATTTATATTATGGGTACCACTTCATTGAGTCCCACTTGAAGCATGCTGATTTGATTTTTTTCAATAATAGGTCATAAATTACTCAACACACAGCTGACTGTATTGTACGCAAGTTGCATTAATGACCACAGGATGTGGAATATCTAAAACCGTGTTTTGTGCTCACAACAGTTCTGTAATTTATGAATTCACTGCTGTTCCTGAGGCTCTATGTAAAAATGTCCAAGGATTCATTGCTGCTGCAGGTGATTTCTAAGGAATAAAGCCGTTTTGTTGTTGTAATCCAAGAGCAATGTAACAACAGGAAAATAATCCCTCAAATTGTTTTCCTCCCGTCCTGCGTCTATTTCCTGAGCAATTATCTTCTACACACTGAATGGTTCCATGCGGTTGGGCTGCTTTTTAGAATCTGGAGTCTCTCCACTGCAAAGACGCGGACGGCGTGATTGGTGGGTGCACAAAGACTGTAATGTTGGTGAACGTGTCAAGACATGATTTCTAGATGTCCAGTTCCATCAGCCTTCACCTCTTATGGGATCAATCTGCGTGTTACAAATTGCACACCCTTCTCCATCCATTTTGTTCCTTTGCCCAATGAACTGGTGGCCACTCTGGAGGTCTGAAGAGCGCAGGACATTTGTATGGGGGGGGGGGAGGAGAGGCGTAACCAACAAGCAGTGAAAGGGAAATACCTTCCTGCTTGACCGATTGAATCCCTCACAGATTTTGACAGATTTAGAAGTGCCGGCCGAAGGCTGTAGGCTGTGGACTGGTGCCGAGGTCATGTAGAAACTGTTGTGTGTACTTTTCACCTGTTCAGAAGGAGTACGGCTTATTGGTGCCCTGCATGTGCCCTCCAAATGTTGACTGCTGTATTCCTAGTGGACCGGCTAAAAAGGTAAAACAAAAACACATGTTTACATTTCCACCTGCCCTCGGGTGCAGTAACCAGGCTGTGAGATGTGCAAAGCTTTGTTATTTTTCATTTTGGGGATTGTTTTGCACCATAAAAAAAAGAAGTCAGGGCCTCATATGGGTGTCTTTTATCTCTGCTGGACCCTCCAGTGTGCAGTCAGTAGCCTTGGTGGGGGGGGTCGCTTTCCGTGCTGGCTGCTTTCACGTGTCGAAGAAACGCTGCGGAGTTTTTGACGCTCCTGGAAATGACTCCAGCGCGTGTCCTCATCTTCACGCAAGAAAAGGGAAAGACTTCGCCCGCGCCTCGCAGCTCCGCATCTCTCCAGGCGGAGCGCAGTGGATACAGCCCGCTATCTCTAACACAAATATGTAAGAGAAGAAGCGTGGTGGGGGTCTTTTTTTCCGTTGGTTGGTAGTAGCGCGCACGGCACTGCGCGCAATCCCTGCGTGGCTCTCTCCCTCCCTCCTCCTCCTCCCCGCTCTTTGCGCTCTTCCGCTGGGCAGCGGGATGCAGGATACGCAGCATCACCGGCATCGTTCAAATAAGCCCAACTACACTCAGACCTCCCGGTCCGGCGGCCTGTCGCCTCTTTTAAGGCAATGTAAGAGGTGAAGACTAGACGGGAAACAGCAAAACTCCCCTCCGGTGTGACGAGGGCTGATTTTTTTTTCTTCCGGAGGGGGATAAAAGTGCGGTCAGATTTGGAATGTGGATGTTTTTGTGTGTGTTTTTATTCTTTTATGCATCGCGATGCCTGCGATGATTTGGTCATCTGAAGATCACATTGAACTGGACTGCTGCTGCTGATGTTATCGGCAATGCGCTTCATCTGCCCGTATATCTGCCCGATGTCTCGGTGTGTGGAGGGAGGCAAGGAACAACATCCACACAACTATCCGGGGGGGGCACTGAGTTAAATAGCGATAACGCTTTTTCTTGCAAAGCCACGTTATTTAAATTTTTTTTTTTTTTGCTGGCAGCGACCACTCAAAAGAATTTGTTTTCCCGCACCAGACAAGCTTAAGCAGGTAAGGCAAGTTGTATGTCCCTTATTCTAAGACAAAGCACGCAGTGCATTGAAGAGCCTATTGGATGCTTAAAGGATTTAATAGCAATGTGATGTGGAGACGGGCGGCGCTGCACCTTGTGTAGATATCTGTGCTCCACCTCGTCTGTCTCTGTGCTGCAGAAGTTGCGCCTCGCTAATGAAATATGTTCTTACGCTCAGAACTCGCGCTCACGGGTATTTCTGCGTGTTTTTTTTTTGGGGGGGGGGGGGGGGGGGGGGGGTCGCCGATCGCGCTGGTGAACTCCGTCTGCAGCCTAATTGTTGCATGTTGGGTCGGATCGGGATAAGGGGGGTCGGGGGGGGGGGGGGGGGCGATGGCAGCGAGGGCTCTGGAACCATTAATCGGCAGGAAGCGGAATCGTGACAGCAGATCGGACTACTAACAGTGATAAAGTGTTCAATTTAAGTGTGTGTGGGGGGGGGGTACAGATAAAGTGTACATTCTTGAAGGGAGGCATCGATTGCTTTTAAGGTTCGATGTGGATTTATCACCTCATAGATGTTCCGTTTGGACTGTTATTAATTGGGGTGTCTTTTACGAGGGCTGCTATTAAATGGAATAAGGACGGAGTAACGCAACTGGCGGGTTTGCAATGACATTTAGCAAGAGGACGGTTTTGGGAAACGTTGGCACATTTTCTGCGCCACCTTGTGGTTCAATTCAGCGCAAAACTTGAGCATCCACAGGTTTTTTAAATATTTTTTTACTGTGGATACAAACCCTTCAAACTATAATTTGGACATTCGTCTTAATTAATTCATAATTATTAGTTTATTATCCAGGAACTTAATTGTCATAGCAACAAAAACGGTATTAGTGGGATATTTCCACCAGATTGCATTGAAGACTGCAACTGCCAACAGAATTGTAATTATCCTTGTTAGCAAATAAGACTCGATCTCAGTTTCTCATCTACAATTATAAATGTGTTATCTTTGTGTGGGGTTGGCTTGCTCTACATGCCTGTAGAGTAGTTGGAGATCGTTACTATTATTTGCTAGTTTACTTATTCTCGATTTTTTAGCAAAAAGAGTGGCAACTGCAGGGCAACAACCTGTGGTGTGACACTAAACAAATCCATGCTGCATCTGTAAACACAAACAGCTTTGTTGGCTGTCTTGTTATCTGTCAGATATTTTCTCTAAAGAATCAATTTTTCATGTTCATAAGTGTATCTGCTGCTTGGCAATTCGGGTTCACGCAGTATTTGATGTGGAATGCAATAGCCGTTTCCCCAAAGGAACCCTTACATTTTGACAACCAATTAGTTGGAAATGGTGATAATTTTGGACTGGCTGCATGCCATTATGGATCGGGTCCATCGAAATAATTGACTGTCCTGCAAATTAAGACCCAGAGCTTTTGTACCAAAACAAAGTGAGTTGTAAAAGCCAGCATGAGGCTACCAGCATGTGGCGAATGACGATTAGCATGACCAAATTAGGAACAATTTGGTGTCACTGCTAAATCTGTTATACAAATTGCAGGTGCCGTCATATTCTCAAAAAAATAAATCAGTAAAAAATAATTTTTCTATGACGCCACAAATGAAACTGATACTCAGTCTCTCTACATGACGACCGACCAAACTCATTCCACAGAAATAAAAAGATAATAGTTGGACCTCGAGTGGAGATAATTTTATCGAGCTGCTAATTCCTATTTGAACCTTTGACCTTTTTGTGTGTGGGAGTCAATTGTATCCATTCATGTAATATCAGCTATGCAAATTCAATTTGATACCATTCTGAAATGAGACAGGATCACTTCAGTGATCGTATTATTGAAAAACTTAGAGCTGATAATGTACAATGTGAACAATCACAGGCTTGTGAGCAAGGTTGATGAAATGCAGGTCAGGTTCATGCTACTGAACAAACCGACAGGTGGTCAAGGCATCATTCAGGCATTATATACATTGATATATACATATATAAAAAGTTACATTGACCATTACCAAACATCACTTTTTCCCCTGCAGGTTAGATTTTTTCGATTACGTATCGCAACTCCAGATTCTATTTGTATAAGCGTGGAAATGTCACTATCGGGTGCATGTACCTCCACGGGACTTTCTTGCATTTGCACTTGAGAAATATAAAAGCTGAACAGCAACGGTTCTGCTTTCGATTTAGCGTAGCATCTTCAGCTTGAGTCATATGTAATTGGCCTTTTATTTCATATGATCTTTGGCCCTCGTAGACCTGTCGCTGTTGAGTTAAGGGCAAAGCTGATGTAGTCGATGCCCCTATGTTCTCCCAAGGACCACAAGCAGCCACCATGTGCAGAACCACAAACTATAGACGGCAGGAAAGCAATGATTGTGCCACGGTTAACACATCTGTTCTGGGTATGGCCAAATTGAAAAGCTAGGACTAAAAAGATGTATTATTTATAAGCATTCACACTGAAAGAAACTGTTTTTTTTTCAGGATGCATACTTGTATTGACTATTCATTATATATGTATTATGGGTATTACCGCATTATTATTCAGCATGCCACCTGTCTGCCTTTTCTGAATTCAAAGCAGGAATGGACCACTTCTCTGAAGGATGATACATGTAGTAATGAACAAAACTGACTTGAATGCAGCAAATTTTCCAAAACAATTTTTTTGTAATTATTAAAACATTTTTTGATTATTATATTATTCAATTGTACTGTTATGACGCAATACAAGCAAACAGGAAATACACTCACACATACATACATGCTCACTATAGAGATCCCTTTGAAGCAATTAAATCAAGCAAAGCTGACTTGCTGCAGACATGTGATGCCTTCGATAATCTTAATAATAAACTTATTCTGTTGATATGACTTTTAACAAATCACCCACTCACATCAGATGTTAGAAAATGTTTCATTTGCATCTAATGGAGTATATTGTGGAGAAGTGGGCAGCAGCAGCAGCAGCTCAGTAGAGCTTGACATAACTTCAGCATCAGCACAGACCGGTCCTGTCCGAGCCTCGGCGCAGCAGCAGACCTGTTCTCAATCAGGAGCCGCTCGCTGTTAGAAGAGACCGGAGCTAAAGTCTCCGTCACAGACGTTCAGGCTTTTCCGCTTAGGAATTTTCACTCAATTTGGCAGATTTCTATTTTAAGTCTAATAAGGGTTTATCGCTCAGCTTTTTCAACCCCAGGTGAACATTTCTGGTAGATTACATTCCATTTGGTGGAAAATGTCATTTTCAGGTACCCCTGTATACCTGTTTTTTTTCCACGTCTGTTTCGTTGCTCTATGTCTGAAATGGGTGAAGTGGTGCTGCTCACTTTTGTCCCCGGCTGCTGTTTATTTGTTTTTCTGTGCTCCAGAGTTCACCTGTTTGCAAGGCGGAGCAGAAGTTGGGAATAAGATTTAACCAAGGGCCAGTTTCTCAGAAAACGTGGGGCCAATGCTGGTGTATTGTTGCAGCAGTGACCCAGATCTTCATGCTTTTAGGACTTTTGTTTCATAAATAGTGGTCATTTCTATTGACCTGTAAAAAATCCCATACAATATCCTGCCTGGATGTATAGTTCCTGTAATATAAATAGATCTACAACCTGATGCCACAATTGGCACACAAGCTACTTGCTGACATTAAGATTACTTCACAATCCAATTATACTGTACTATATTATTTAAAATCAAATTACATTGTTATCGCACGGTAACCTCCTGCACCACACTCTGGCCCGTCAGAGTACCTCATATTACAGTGTTTGAATCCAATCCCTTTATTCAGCATCTTAAATTATCTGCTTTTAGTAAGAAATGGAGTGTTTTTTTTCATCCATCAGAGAAACATCCATTCAACATATCTCAAAGTACAAAATATCAACGCGAGTGTAACACCCTGCTGTTAAAAAAGAGTCCACAGCCCATTTTCTTAAGTAGTATGTGTGTGTGTGTCTGTGCAGCTTGTGGAGCAACACTACTTCTCTACATGGTGGACATGTTTTTGTCCCCTGTGCACACTGCGAATGCAGCACAGTGCTCTTGCTAACTGTTTACGGCTTGTCGACAAAGACACAGAGACACAATATAACACTAAAGTACTATAGCGGAGGGGTAAGAGTTGCACGTACTTCTGGTTAAGAGTAAAACAAACAATGGCACAGAAGCTCTGCCATCTCAGCCAAGGTTGTAAACTCTTTATTGCTTCTAATTTGTCAACCGCAGCGTTTGCACATTACAGCTTCCCCTTAACTGGCCTTACCTTCCACAACAGATCTTTTATGTCACCATGAGATCAAATATCTGTTATCAGCAGGGATTGATGCATAAAACGATCTACAATGTCCGCAAGTGATGTAATGGTCCTCTCAGGACTCCACAAGAGAACACTCCAGACAGAGGCAAAAGGTGAATGCTTGTGAACACTCTTCCCTCACTGCAGCGGGACTTGGTATATATTGAAAAATACGTGTTATTTCATCTGGGATTTCCCTCAGGACATCGGGGTGTACAGACATTTCCATTGGTTGGAACGTGCCAGTCAAAAGTAGTGGGTGAGAGACGGAACAAGCTCACATTTCTCCACATAAATTCTCTGGAGCCGTCTCCTTAAAGTGCTGAAACACTTTGCCTCTCTGCTAAACCCCCCCGACATGTCATGGTGACAACAGACAACATGACAGCGTCAGCCTGCACCAACCGTCAGTGTTGCGTGTGCTTAGCTCGGCTACTACAAATAGCCGGGAGCCTTCTGCTGTGGTACCAGAGGCAACCTGCTCTCCCTCAAAGCAGTGACTGCCTCTACAGATGTGCTGCAACGGGTTCGGAAAGACTGATCTGTTCGCCTCAAGGTTTTTTTGTTTTTTTTTTGCAGTCCAGACACATTGGAATTCTTGTGCAGGGTTCCCTCAGTCAACAGTTTAGAACATAAGACACCCTATAATAAGAAAAATATATAGAATATAAAAACACTGTGCATAAGGTGGCAATATGTACCAAACGGTGGTACTATGT